TATATTTTCACGGTTTCTTCAGTGGAAAAATATTGCTATGCACCGTGACGCTGTGCTGATGATCACAGTGCTGGCTACTGCCTCAACAACTTTCCATCACAGGAAGTGTACATCACAGTGTTCTATTCATCTCAGCAGAATGCATTTGCTGAGTGGAGACCAAGATGAGCATTTATGGCTGTCATAACCCATTTTCTGCTCAGTGAACGATAGAGGGTGTAATCATAGTGGCAAGCTTCTCTGAAAATGTATAATTACCACGTTTAATTCTTCGCTCGCTGTACGACAGCTGCTGGAGAAATGCAGCTTTATAACCTTGAGTCAGCTGCATTTGTGCTGACAACGAAGCGTATGCAGGTGAAGAAATCTCATCACAACATACTGATCTCAAGATTGAACGGTCGGAGCCACAGACTCATCTCATACCATATGAATAACACTGGCAAAGATATCAAAGTGTTTCCAAGGAGCCCTGGCAACCACAATTGTGCTCGATAGCTATCGACCTCCAGCGCATCAAGAAGTACAAAGTACCTTTATGAACCTACTTGAAGACCTGCAAGACTTTGCACTTCATCCCATCAGGTACGTCGTTTGCGCCTTCAACTTCATTGCATCATTTACGAAAGATTCTGACAAATACGCAACTGGAGTATTCATGGTCATACTATCACTCACGGATGATAAGTTCTTTCGTGCAGTTGATAAGGTTATTATAGGAATCAATGAGTTCAACGGGCTGTCTGCTTTCACAATGAATCTCTTTTCCGCTCTCTAAGATTCTTATTTCCTTCTATATATGAGAAGTACATCGCTGACAGCGATGACATCGATAAGGTTCACGATTCAGCGTGAGATGAGATCATTAATTCCTGATCCAGTACCTGCGGCAGGGAGTATCAAGAAATAAAAAAAGCCGGTAAGGAATGTTTTTGTTGGAAGTGGCCGACCGACGGCACTTCTGGTGAAATGCGCTCAACGCATCGGGAGGGACAAGCACCAAGCGACAGCTGAAACGCATCGCAGGGCGGTACCTGGAAACAGAGCGGGCGAGTACGGAAGGGCAGAAGAAGTATAAGTACGCACCTGTACTACTGTATTCCCCAGTTGTTTGTGGCCTCACCAGCCTCTCACTCCCATTGCACCCATGAGACGGGAAGGTGCCAGCTGGTTAACACCCTTGCCGCACCAGAATTTCCTAGAGTTTTGCATGTGTATCGAACTGGTTTTTAGACACTGAAACCACTCCCATGTAACATCAAGAGACTATCGGAGCAAATTGCATGGATGATCATACAAATGAATGCTAGGAAGAACAGAACTGGAAGTTCTGACTGTTGGTGTCTGTCTATACTGTATCACGGGAGATGGTGACTACTATCAAACCCGCTCTAGACTGTATCTTGCGTTTGCAGCTCGAGCCTAACTGTTAGATGAAGTGAGGTTGGGATGATGCGCTCTCGTGTTCAATGGACGGTCGCTTACGCCGCGAATTGCGCATCGGAGGAAGCGTAACATCGATGTGCTATCAACAGCTGCGGATGGGTGCTCCTGGTGAGCTGACATCTCGTGTCGTCACACGCTTCGCAGCTTGCCGCTGAGTCTCAGAACGCTCTCATGGTTGACTTCCGGAGCCTTCTATAGGTCCTTGCATCTAGATCCCCAACGTGCGCGGCCTTTT